CCCCCCCCCACGCTGCTAACTGACGGCTTCTGATTGACCAGCTGCCCCAGCCATAGTTCCTGGCCCAGATATGCATATACACCCGAACGCTGACCACGGCGCATACCAGCCCTGAGGAAGACCACGAAAAGATGGTCGAAACGTCGGCAACATAGCCTTCGACGCGGCGTCACCCGGACAGCCAAGATCACGCACAGTTACATAATATTATTATACTACTTGATATACATTTGTATGAATTTTGGCTATTAAAAGATTAAATCAAAATACGATTAAGTTATGTTATCCAATGCATTTACCTCTTTAAAAAATTTAAATAAAATATTTGGACCGTTTTCAATCTTGTTGCCTTTATTTCACACAAAATTATGTAAAACGTATTTTTTTAAAAATAATGTGCATGGCTGTATTTAAAGACATAATTTTGAAGAATAAAATATCATTGAAAAGAAATATGTTCATCTTCAATTTTGGAGTTGTAGGATGACTCGAAAACAAAACTTTTGTCATTTTCGAAAATACAAAGAGTTCAACGACAATGCTGCGCCATTTTTGTAACAGTACTTCGCTCTATCCATAAAAATTTGGATTAAAGAAAAAATGGAGCCATTTTAGAGAAAATTTTGACACAAAAGGTGGCTTGACAGGAGACTCCTACACACAGCTGTGTAGAAAACTTAAGCAGCATTAGTTACGGGCTGGAGAGCATTCCGTTCCCCAAGCATTCGTCCGGGGGACAACGAAATCAACTGGAGACGTCAAATAATTTATTTGAGAGTCCAGATCGGCCGTAGTCTCAGCTTCGGGCGGCAGACAAGACAACAAAGACATGCTCTGTTTCAGGACGAATGCCAAATGTGGGAGGCCCAAAACAGGTGAAGCATAAAACGATATCTTGAGCAGTTCTTTCCCAAATGCTGTATGCTACCTCAGTGTGGGCTGACAAACTGGGGAAATCTTGCGTGCGATTGAAGTACGCGCAAGTACAAAGGAATTTGGCGCAGAGAATAGTGTCAGCTTACCGCACGGCCTCTGACAGCACAGTAAGGGGTCTAGTTCGATGTGACGAAGCTCACTGAGCCCGTTCGCGACGAACCTCTGCGTAAGTCGAGAGAAGACATCAAGAAGAGAGCACGCACGTCTCTCCTGGGAGAATGGTAAGACAGGCGCCAAAGCAAGGTGAACCCGCGAAATGAGTGTTTCAAAAGAAGCCCTGGGGAGAGAGGCAAATTACTACCTTTTCCAAATGCTCTTTGGACACGGCTGCTTTAAATCTTGTCTGTTTAGATTTCGAAGAGCAGTTGACCCCAAATCTGAATATTGTGGGTTCGGAAACGATGATGCCATGCATACAATATTCAATGCGTAGCATGGGATACTTCGAGCAGAAAACGTAATAAGTATGATACAGTTTATCCTCAATTTCTAACAAAGAGTGGAGCACAATACAAGAGTTCCTCACTTTCATCACGAAAAGAAAAGACGAAAGGCTCCATATTTAATTTGAAGCGATAATCTACCTACTTGTCCGTCTCCCCATGAAGCAATGTTTCGAGACGGTTTTCGTGGAGAGAGGCATGGGCACAAGAAGACACTTTTTTTAGTGGGTGATTGATTGGTTGATTGATTAGTGATTCTGGGAGCGACCATTGCTAAGGTCATTACTCCCGTAAGTGTAGTGCGGAGTGACGGTGATCTTCCACGGTTGGATAGTGAGATATAGCGCGGACCTACCCGTCGGCTAGCAAAGTTTTCCCAATCAGCGGGGCACCGTCTCAGCTTGATCAAGCTCTAAATTCCCGACTGGGCTCCGAATACGTGTGGCGTAGTGCATGTATGTATAAGTGTTTGTAAGTAAGGCGTGAGGATAAGCCAAGAAAGACGAAGGAAAGATCGTGCAGGGTCCATAGCCCGTTTGTTGGGGTACTGCTACGGCATTCGCCAAGTATTGCTGGGAGAAACCACGGAAAACTGCCGATCCTAGCAGCTGGCCGCTATCATTCTCCTCCAGACAGCGACTGAATTCGACTTAGCTATCTACCGAGTTTATCTATTATCTAAGTATCATCATAGACCTATCTAGTGTCTAAAATTCTGCTACTGTCAGGACACTAACCCAGAACCTCCCGGTCAGAGTCCCTGTCCACTGACATCAGTTGATGCCCTGAGCCACCTCTTCCAGTTTTAGTGAGTGATAGTCCTATAATAATAATAATAATAATAATAATAATAATAATAATAATAATAATAATAATAATAATAATAATGTAATAGAGTATCGGTAGTTGTTCGTAGAAAACTGTTCGATACATTTTCGTAACGTTCAAATCAACGGAATCGTCACTCGTCACAAAAATATAATAAAATCTACAATACTGCCTCTACAATACTTAGCGAAAAATGTGGGCTGTTCCAAATAAAGCAATTTTTTGCACTTCCTAGTCTTTTAAAAAACCTGGGAGTTAAGCAAATTTTGCGGAACAAATCCAAGAGCTCCGATGACTATCGGTTCGACTTGTGCTTTTACGCCCCACACAGCTGAACTCGGTTTAATACCATGACATGCCAATAGCGTTTTGGAGCTAAGATGTTCGTTTATTAAAATATTGAGTTAATTGTTTATTCTGGGCGCGAAGTTGGAACAGATTTTGAGTTTGATTTTAGGAAGTACTAGCTAACGATAGCCTGCTTAGATAACCCGATAAATAATTCTACACGAATTAGAACGAAGGTTTTATATTACTCGGATGAGTAGTCATGAAGGTTGAAAATCCTGTCACCGTCAGGGCTCGAACCCTAGGACCTCCCAATCAAAGGCACTGCAGTTTCATCGATTATTGATACCCTGAATTAATTAAGCCGCTAATATAACGCGATATGCACGCATGTTTCAAAGAATTATTTTCTAAAAAAAAGCTCTAATTTTTTTCTTTAATTTTCCCTTTCGTATGTATCAAGGGCGGTAAAAAAAAGTAGTGGTAGCCTCATTTTCGGCAAACTCAGTATTTTCGAAAATGGCAAAAAGTTAACATTGCAAATGTACAAAATTAAAGCTAGATATTTTTGCCTTACGCTGAATCTGTTCTAAAGATTGAACTCTTCAAGAAAGGTGGCAATGGTTTGGGAAAAAATAATATATTTCTTGAAATTAATGCAATTAAAACATTTCCCCAAAAACCGCTTCGAATGTTTTCTTTAAATTTTTCCACTGATAAAAAAAGGAACCCTAAAAGGCATGTCGCAGGTCTCATTTTCGTTGAACCCTCAGAAGTTTCGAAATTTGCGTGTTGGAAATAATGGGAGAAGTGACTAAATTTTTAAGCGTTGGTCTAACGAGCGGGTCAGAGCACCCGCGTGATGAAACGGTAAAGCACACTGTGGTTTCGCTCGGTGCCACTGAGTTCGTGTCTCGGTGGGGAAATTAATTTTTGTCGGGTGAAAACACCTTAGCAGTTCATGTATTGGTATAATATTGCGGAGTCATTACAAATAATGCGAGGAAGCATGTGCTACTGCACCAAAACGAGCTTAAAGATATTTAGTTTTTGTTGCTTATTACGGAGTGCGGAAGTATCGCCAGAGTGTTGGAAGATTGACTCAAGGGAAACTTACCAGGACGGTGGCCAAACCGAAAGCAACCACCCAACCCCAGCCGCCCTCCGGTGCCGGGTTGGGGCTGGCGTCAACGTTGCATTTCCCGGCGTCATCTTCACCATGTCCCATGTTCTCAGCTCCTGGAAGAGAGTCGTTGCCACTCGTCCGAAAGGGTCCTACAAAAAAATATCGAAAATTAATTAACTATTTTAATAATAAATTTCATTCTATTGTCATATTTTTGATGGTACGAAGTAGTTTGCAGGATGCGCTTTACAAATTCAATTCGTCGCTCATTATTGTGCGCAATTTATTAAAAATATGTTTGTAAAATATGTTTACTCAAGTAATGCGTGGTAAAAATTTAATTAAAAAATATAAATTTAAAAAATTGCCTTAGAACTAGTTTTGCCCATGTATTGAAAAATCATTGGCACTAGCCACATATTCTGTCGACACTTTACTTATGTACACTCGTTGAAACATTACAAGTAAGTTTCGCGTCGAAAATGCCTTGACCCGATTGGTTGATGGCGATGGACATCCTTGCCTGCCGACAGCGATATCTAATATAAATATATAAATTAATAAGTATTAGCAGGGAAGTAGGAGTGCAAACGCCGACTCACCATTTATTTACTAGTCTGAAGAAATCACCTTGAGTCATGTAACGTTTCATTAGATTAGATCAGATAAGATTTATTTAGTCAAAAAACAGTAAAAAAAGGAATGTTACGTATGGGGGAGAAGCGTCTGCGCACGTTTTCTAGAGTTCCAGAATCGCTTCCCATCTTTTAACTATAAATAGTTGAAAGATGAGTAAAAGTTAAAGATTGAATAAATATATAAATAAATTAAAATTAAAATTAAAAACACGCGAGATTAGCAACATTTGAAAAACAAGGCATTTTGTTCCCGTGAATAGAATAATGATTTGCCACGGTAAACGAACTGCGGAATTTCTGAATTGCTAACATAATAGTAACTCTCCCCTACCTCTACTCCTACCACTACAAGAGTTCAACAAACGTGCGCATAGTGAAGAAACATTTACGTCCAGAAGCAAAACAAGAGGCTGTATCAGAATTTGCTCAATGGATTAGGGAAACTGGACAAAAACCTGATCGAGATGGGGGTCATTGACCCGGAAGCCGAAGTATATTATTTGTTACAAGCATGTTAGGTCTTTTTAAAAAATGTATACAATACAAATGTAAACTAATTCATTATATATCACTGTTTTGTTAAAATAAACATTATTTGTCTTTTTGATGATCGATGTAGTTTTTAATTGTAAAGAAATTGTTATGCAGCAGAAAAGTTTTTACTTTTAATTTAAATTTGTGGGCCGAATACAATTTTTTTATATCATCTGGCAATGCGTTGTAAAATAACGTTCAAGTATTTGTGGATTTCTGATACTGAGTTCGCCAAGTTTTAGTTTTGTTACAAGCGTTCAAAATAACCAGATTATTTTTGCGTGGACTATTAGTTTCTTAAAGTTCTTTCGTATTCTCGGAATTAAACAGGGAAAGTGGGTGATTCGTTGTGTTTAGAAATAAAGTAAAGCAGACGTTTGTTTTTACACGATGTTCTAATTCCTTGTGTGATCCCAGTACTATTTTTCCGTGAAATGTTTAATTCTCTCTTTTCGAGAGGAAATCATGCCTTTGAGAAAGATTGATGAAATTTTTCATTTATGTGTCAACAGCGTTATATACTGTCTCATGATTCCTTCAGCAAGTAGTTCGTAAATAATTTTATGTTAACTTTAGTGAACGATCTGTACACGCGTGTATTATTTATTGTATCGGTGTTCAAGTTATTAGTAATTGCAAGAATTTGTGCTTCGTGATCGCTGTAACTTAGACTAGTAGTTTTTATTTCATTACTCGTTGTTATTTTGTTAATTATAATTTGATCTATTGCTTTTTGTGATTTAAATGTATTCCGTGTAGGTACATTCACCGTAATATCTAAATTTTAAAAAAACGTAATAAATTGAAAAATTTGCTCTTTTTCGTGGGATTCGATCTGAAAATCAATATTGAAATCCGCACTTATAACAATGGATTTAAAATATAAATTACTAATTTTGTTCAGAGTTCTCTAGATTTTCTAAGAAAATGAAATTATCTAGAGCTCGCTTTCTCTGAGGCATGTGGATGCATGAGGGGTAGTTTTGAACGTAGTAAGAAGTACGACTGTTGTATCAAAAACTTTTTCAACTGCATATGAATTGAATCCTGACAAGAAGAGAGAGTCAATGTCTTATTTGAGGGTCAGGTATCGTTAGTTTCTCCAAAATATTGACTGTAAATAGTCTGGAATGTTTTTCCTACGTGTTTATCCACCACGAGACACAGAGGTTTCGGAATAAATGTTACAAACATCTAGGGCACTAGGCAATCCAAGAGAATATTTTTGCCAAGAAACATGTAGTAGGAAATCTCGTTACGACGTTACACATATAACATTTTCCCATGTTTGGAAGGCAAGGCGTGACCATGTTAGGTTCACAAATGTGTAACAATGGTACTCATGTGAATTTGCATCTGATTGTTAGGCAATTCACCTTGCCTACCAAACATGGACACGTCTTGCCTTCCAAACATGGGAAAGTGTCACATGTGTAACGTCGTAACGAGATTTCCTACTACATGTTTCTTGGCAAAAAGGTATCTTTTTCGACACCTATGCGCCCAAGAAGTTAGTGACATCGTCATGTGATAATCTACGTAGTGCGTTGGGGATCTTGCGGCTTACCGTTTCATCATGGCCTTCCGATAATTCGAATATTTAATAGATCAACAGTCGATGGGTTCTGTAAGAACAGGGGATCAGCCAATCGATCAGCCCTTAGGATGGGAGTGGTGACAGACTGGGGAGGAAGGAACCTATCCGTGACCCACTTTTCAAGATATAGCTTCGGCATCCACCTGATTTTGACTTGAGAGAAGTGCGGAAAGGATCGAGCGGAGCAACTGCTCCCTAGAATCATCCGGAGTTGCTAACTTCGATGCAGCTATTGAAATGGTAACAAAAAATCCTACGCAGTTCGGAATCAAACCTTCGATTTTCCGGCCTACGAAGCATTTATTTTTAGTTTCCTTCTTGATAGAATTAGTGAAAGCTATACACTAATTTGAAAATGGCAACTTTTAAAGAATCATGAGTCAATCCTTCGTGTAAAAGTTGCAAAGGCGCACACACACACACACACACAATGTTGTCACACCCAAAGACTTGACACATGTATCTTTATGTAATTTAACGCGCTAAAGTCGAATCTGTAGACAGAATTACGGCATCATCCTCCAATTTCTTTTTTATCCGTATTTTTGTGTCGGGGATCACTGTCAGACCCAAAGACTTGACACGGGTTTTTCTATTTGTCGACTCCCTGAATTTGAATTTAAAGCCAGAATTGCGCCACTGACCTACAGTTTTCGCAATTTAAATTGCGAAAAACCGCCGTGAAATTGAAAAATTTAAATTTCACGGTAAATTTTCGCGATCTAAAAGAACTGGAATGTGGTGACGCAATTCTTTATTCGGATTCACATTCGTTGACATACGTAGAGAAACATGTGTCAAGTCTTTGGTTCTGACAACTTTTGACTTCTGTAGAGTATAATGCTACCAAACATCAAAATCTAAAATTCACAAGGATTTTTTGCAATTAAAAAACAGCTGGAAGTTGATGACTCAATTCTGGCTTCAGATTCCGATTTAGCGCGGCGACATACATAGGGAAATATAAGTCAAGTCTTTCTGTGTGGCAACTTTTTTATTTTTGTGTGCCTGTATTATCATTTATGGATATTACATGAAATCGTAAAATAGATTTATGATCACGATCATGCAAGAGTGATAAGTAAATGTATCATATATTAAATATTTAAAAGACGCAAATATTGCGAAAATACCATTTATTCATAATTTATATTATATTTAGATGATCTTGAACACAAATCTTTATGGACTTTATGAAACGTCAAATAGAAATGTAGAACCTTGGCGTCCTAATTAAAAATGAAAACATAATCTATACAGAATTCAGCAACAATATCCTGACTTCAATTTCTGAACACAGAAAAATTGTGCTTCTAACATTTCTGGAATATTGATTTTAATCGAAATTGATATTTTTCGACCATCTTCCTAGATTTTTCAGATCAAATGTTAGTATGATAATTTTGAGAGACTCTCAACATTGCCTTTCCAAAGAAAATCATTCTTTGAAATTCTATCAAAATTATTTAAAAACTGACTATAAGATTTTCAATATTAATTAATTAAAGACAGTTTGAATTTTATTTTACACATTGATATTCAGTTTTTTTAAATCATTAATTAATATACATATTTAACACATCTCGGCAAAACTTTTTGTCTTGTTTTGGTGTTAAAGTTTTTATACCAGGAACACACAATGCTTGAAAGGTGATTATGGCAAATTTATGCAGTGCTCCGCTGGCGGAGATATCTGGAGGGGGTTCTCCTGCCCTCGCAAGCCAACGTGTGAGCGACGGATGTCACGTTCTAGCGGGGAGGAACACCGCAAATTAGAATGCACCACACTCACAGGACTAATGACCATAGCCGCAGACGCGCCCGGAGTCACAAAACAATCACTCCAAGCATCTCACGAGGAAACCGTCATTCTGTCCGTTCCTGGGGGTTCGTTCTTCACAAAACACGCATTCTGTTGAGTTTCGCGTGTTGAAACTGAAGATTACACTCGAGTTGTAGAGGCGTGAGGGTACATGCGCGTTACTTACGGGAGAGGAGGTTGCCCGCTGATGTGCAAGCGTGTTTCGCCCGCGGATCTTCCTCCTTAATCTCAGCCCTTGTGACTACCTCCTCGTGGCGACCTTGCGAGCGCTTGCCTTCGCGAGGCACCTGTTTGTCTCCGGATTAAATGCGCTGCTTCGCAGGTGTTCAAAACAGCCAGCCAATCTTCTGGCGATTTAACACAGCCCGAAGCTTCACGAGAGAAAATACGTCCGTTCAGAAAGACTTCCCGGAAGAAGAATGATAATTCGAAATCCCGAACCGAATATCGAATAAAACGGAGATTTAGTCAATTTGCTCCGGTACATATAACTCTTCGCATCTACATTCCTCGATTATTCGTGCTGCATCACTAACACCACGGGGAGTAAGTGGAGGACTTTTATACTAAACCCAGGAGGTGCGTTGCAAGGTGGGGGTACCAATTGTTATCATTTCTCCTCCTCTCCCTTCCAAGAAGCTGTGATTCGCCGCGATGTACTTGCATTGCCTACGGGGGCTCGACTCGTAAACACGCTCCCGTTTTAGAAAAATGTTTGCGTACCACTAAGAGATACGCTCAACTGAGGCCGACCATGCTTGAGGATACCGGATACAGTTCTTAAAAGAGCTCTAACTCCTCTCTTGCTTGTAGGAACGGCATAAAAAGTCAAGCTCTAGTTCAACGCAACGCGAAAATAACACCCTTTTACGTCAATAACGAACGTATTTGCGACGGAAAAGAGGAACATTCAGAGTAATATTTTTAGTCGAACGCAATGACAACCGCTCATAGCGACAGTGTCATATCATGTCGTATACGTTATAAATCTCCCCAGACAAGAGTCTTACTTTGCGAAGTATTTCAGTGGGGGATAATTTCCGACAAGTGAAGGTGTGTGTATGTGAGAATCAGATGACAGTGTCACGGGAGACAGATTTATTCTCGGTTGAAAGACATGATGACATGATGTGTGAAAGATTTAGTACCGCGAGTTTAACGAACTCCTGTTTGTGAGCAAGCACGTCATAAAGAGACGGAAAAAGTTTATGGAGTAGCAACAGAGTTGGCAATGACATTGATACAACAAACATGTCATTAATGTATTATATTTTTTGACCTTCCTAGATGGATATCATTTTAATATTTTTTAATATCCGACTATGGATATATTTTGAATATTTGACTGAAGATAATTTCACCCCTACTATTTCAAATATTTATATTCGATGTGATGACAATGAGAAGATATGATATTATATGCAGGTGGAGGTTTAATGTATATACCACAGTCACATTAGCAAAATTTGATAGATTATATATTCTTTTAGAATTTTACATATGCATCTTGAAAGTGTGCAAATTGATAGTAATTTTAATTATTTCCTTGTTACTTTCTCTAACGTTACTTAAACATAAATTGTTAATGAGATAACTGCTTTACATCAACTACTCCTATACTTCGATTTTTTTAAAGTGGCTAATGACATTAGGTCATTGTTACACCTCATGCAGTATAAATGAATATTTTTAATTAATTCGCCAACGTCCTTCTCAACACTGACACATTAAATAATACATATATGAGTAGATTGTTCACTAAGAGTAAAGTGAAATTATTCATCAATTACTTGCTGCAAGTGTCATGGGACGCGGTTTACAATACTGTTGATATAAACAATAAATATAATTATTTTTTTCAACGCTTTCATTTCATTTTAACACTCTCTTCCCTCTTCAAAAAAGAACATTACATTTTTCGCGGAAAAGCAATTCTTGGATAACCCGAGTGATTAGCACATCATGTAAAAACAAACGAATACTTTCTTTCGTTTCTAAGAATCATAACGTATCTCAAGAATACCTTCTTTATTTCTCCTTTATTATCATTGTTAAGATAAGTCATAAGGCAAGCTAAAATCAAGAAACATGATCAGGATATTTTGAACTCAAAAACAAAGCAAAGGCAATGTGGAATATAGTAAAAAATACGACCAAATCAACTAGAAACCTTGTAGAATGCTGTTTTAAAAGATAAAGATAGAAATGTGAATGATCCGGCAGCAGTGGCTATTCTCATTAACCAATACTTTTCGAAAATTACAGCCGCTCTCACTAAGGGTCTTAAGACCCAAAATTCAACATCACACGTTTGCCCAAAATTTTATGGACACGATGTTCGTTTCCGAAACTTCTTCCTATGCAATTTTCAAAATAATTGGTAGACTAGAATAAAATATTCGACTGATTAAGATGAATATCCGGATTGTTTGTTAAAGACTTGCGCGGCCGCCACTCGTTAACTCACATATTTAATGTATCTTTATGGACAGGAATTTTTCCAGATATTTTTAAAACAGCTAAGATTAAGCCGCTTTTCAAATAAGAGAACAAAAATGGAATTCAAAATTATTGGCCAATTTCTCTTTTGTCAGTTTTTTTTCTATCAAAAATATTAGAGATTTTTTACGTACGAATGGAAACCTTTTTTAGTTAACACCACGCGTTTTCAGATTGCCACATGGGTTTCGAAAATCAAGATCTACGGAAACAGACATAGTTTCTTTTCTTAAAAATGTCGTCTCATCCATAGATCAAAACGAAGCACCTATTGGAATATTTTTAGATCTTTCAAATGCTTTGACGTCATTCATCATAAAATTCTTCGTTCATCGAAACATTTTACTTTCAAAATACCGCTTCGCACGGAATTCGTAGTATTGCTCTAGAATGGTTATGTTCGTACAGTAAACAACTATCCCAGAGAGTAGAAATACCTTACTGGAATAATGTAATATTATGTACACACCTTTCCGATTCTTTGCCAATTGCATGTCACGCAGGAATCGATTTGAGGCCCTATTCTCTTACAGCTGTACGTAAACGATATGCCCTCGGCGATTAGAAACCGAAGAACAGTTCTTTGCAGATGATACGAATATTCTTTGCAATGACGAAACCGTAAATGATACAATAGCAGATATTTCAAATTGGTTCCGTAATAACAAATTAATAGTAAATGAAAAGAAAACGGTTTAAATGCAGTTTTCCATTTCAAATAACAGCTCTGTACTACATTGAAAATGAACGGTGTGCCATTGGTTGATGTTAAGGTAAACACATTTTTACAACTTTCAATTCAGTCATACCTAAAAAGGAATGTCCATATAAATGAATTGATCACTAATTAAGTTATTGTTGCTACACTTTCAGAATTCTTTCAAATTCAGTCAGCCTCCATACTGCTCGTTGTGTATATTTCGCGAATGTTCATTCTCACTTGAGATATGACATAATATTCTAGGGAAATACATCTTACAGCTCGCAGACTTTAAGATCACAAAAAAGAATTGTACGAATAATAAGCAAATACCACCCACGTGATTCCTGTAAGCCTCTCTTTATTAATGTATGTCTTTTACCATTACCTTGTTTCTTGATATTCGTATCAGTATTTTTGGTCAAAAATGACTTACTTAACGCCCTCAAGGGCGGGAATATAATTTTAGAAAGCGCTGATATCTATAACTACAACTGTCGACGTAGTCATCTCATATTCATCAGGTGACAGTATCAACAGCTCACTGCAAAAAAGTCACATACAAGACATGTGTATTATTTTACACTACCGTGCCAGGTGACATTAAACGATTAAATTCCATACAAACGATTAAGTCTGAAGTAAAATATGTGCTGCTGCACAACTGTTTCTGTACAGGTAGAGACTATACCGAGTATCCAAAAGGAAAGTAATATAAATCTTAACAATGACATTTAATGTATCATTTACCATTTGTAGTGTTCAATTCTTAAGAACATGAAACAAGTATTGCATTTAAACTTCTAGGTTAATTACCCCCATCGATCACGTTTGCATCCAGTTTCCCTGATCTTTGAGCAAATGGCGAGATGGGTTCTTGTTTTGCTTCTAGACATAATTGTATTTCCCTAATTAACTTCTCTCCCTAGCACGTCACACACAATTTTGAACTATAAATAAATAAATAAATAAATAAATAAATAAATAAATAAATAAATAAATAAATAAATAAATAAACGGGGCCCTTAGCCTCGGAAATATGTTTACCACTGTGAAAAAATTCACTTTATAAAGCAGGAAGTGTAACTGGATTCTCTCTGTCGCCATCTGGCTTCACATTCCAAGCACTTGTCTTGGAAACAGCTAGTGACTATTAAATTCTACTCCGACGATAAGGTTTGTACATCAGTTATTGTTGTTGAGCATAGATAAGTGTTATTTCTTGACATTCCGTTATAATTGGTTGCGTTGTAAATAAATTTGTTAGTGTATATTTGTACATTTTTGATCGATTTTTCGTGTTGGGGCTCATTCGTGTAATTATAAGCACATATTTTACATTTTTCGATAAAATATAGACTTATATTTTAAAAGTTTCATTTTTTCATAGGATATATTATATTTATTCGTGAGCATTCATTCATTAGAAAGAGTTTGTCGCAGGTTGAGTTATTTTTTTTCTTTTTTTGTAGATGATAAAATAGGTACTTGTGCAAATGTAAGATATTTCTCGATATAACATTTTTTTAACCAAGACAGAAGAAATGCAACAAGACATAATTTACTTAACTAAAGTGAATGTTTATTTCAATTATTTCTCCGCGAAATAAGATAGACTATATTATGTTTGTACACAAATATATATTTTTACTCCAAACATGTTTCTCATGAATTTTATTAAGAAAGGAAATATTATTTTTTATTGCAAATAAAGTGCATATTTCAGAATTTGTAGGACATAAATTCATATTTTTAAAAGTATATTTCATGATTTTTAGGTCATAAAAATCCTCTTCCACATTATAACCATTTGCCATGGTTTTTGACACATAATTCCAACATGACATATGTTCATAAAGTATAAATTTTAACTTCGTAATTTATGAATTTTGAGGATTCTTAAGCATGAGTGTAATTCAATAAATTTTGTTGCTTTTTCTACAAGCATAAAATATAAAATATATACACAAACCATAATAATATTATTGAAATTAAATTTTAATTATATTGCTAAAGTATTTTAAATATTCAAAACTTTCGAAAGTCGAAAGGTCGACTGGCTCATATCCCGTCTCGTTCATGTTTGTGTGTGTTCGTGTTGTCCTTACATGTTCTTCCTTCAGGTACAACAATCATAGTGGTCGTTATGCGAGCAAGTTGTTAAAACGAAACCTTGAAAAAATAAAAAATAAAATGAAGAAAAAACGAAAAAAAGATCGATAAAAATCAAATACCAATTTTTAATTTCTCGTTTAATTTTTAATTCATATAAAGAATAAATGTATTTATTTTATTGTGGAAGAGAAAGTGTCGATTTTTACTATCTC